TGACAAATTGAGTTTCCCAATTTGGGGACAGAAAAAAGTGTAGGCCGGATGCTGGACAGGAGCTGTGCAGGCTGTGCCAAGGCTGGACCTGTCCTCACACCCTGACTCTTCTGTACACCTGCCTTCATTCTAACCACAGCCCTTTCAGAGAGCTTCTTTATGAGGAGCATGTGTGTGTATGTGTGGGGAGGAGATGGAGTGCCTCTGCCAAGACCCAGAGCTGGCCAGTGGCCAGGCTGGAATTTGAGCCCCAGTATGTGTGATTTCTGGGTGATTCTGGAGCCCAGGCCCTTCTTCCTCTGTCTGCTTCCTGCAGGTCCAGTGCCCAGCACTTCCACCCATCTTGGCACATACCTTTCCTGTCACCCTGGCTTCTGCTGCCTGGGTGTGCTTATTCGAGGATTGATTTCTCCTGTATCTGCCACACTGATTCTCGATTCTGTATATTGTGACCTGTCAAAATGCATGGCATTACCACTCCTTGTGTTAAAAATAGGCAGTTATTGGGGCGCCTGGGTGGCTCAGTCGGTTAAGCATCCGACTTCAGCTCAGGTCACGATCTCGCGGTCCGTGAGTTCGAGCCCCGCGTCCGGCTCTGGGCTGACCGCTCAGAGCCTGGAGCCTGTTTCTGATTCTGTGTCTCCTTCTCTCTCTGCCCCTCCCCCGTTCATGCTCTGTCTCTCTCTGTCTCAAAAATAAATAAACGTTAAAAAAAAAAAAAATAGGCAGTTATGTGGTACTGATTACTGCCTGCTGCATACCAATCTCTGCTCTCAAGGTGTTCATAGGACAAGCAGGGCTGACCGACAGGGAGCTGACAGTTCCCACAGGAGCTGCCTCGGGTGTGGCCAGGGTGACCATGAGGTTTCTCTGAGGCAATGAGTGGGGGTGCCTCGGTAGGAACATGGTTGGAGGGCCCAACAGGCAGGGCTGGGGGGATGGTTGGGCAGTATACTGGGCAGCAGGGCTCTGGGGGGCTGAGGGAGTGGGCTTCACAGCTGTCTGCCTTGCTGGTAAAGAGCGAGGCCCTTGAGGCAGGTGGGGACAGAGCCTGGGTCACTTCCCACTCCCACTGGCAGTCATGTGGCTTGGGAAGCTGGCAGAGGTGGTAGGAGTGGGACCGGGAGACAGAAGCCTATGAAGAAGGACCACCAAAGGTACAGTAAGAGATGGGGTGAGGACTTGGATTTTAAGGAACAGAAGTCAGAATTAGGAAGTGAAGAGGGGGTTCCCAGGTTTCCAGTGTGGGCAATTGGTGGACATAGAGCTGAGGTTACAGGGTTTTTTTTGTTTTGTTTTTTTTGTTTTTTGGTGTGTCACTGCCCTCTGCTCAGGCAGGGTCTGGACAGGAAGGGCCTCCTCTGACCTCCTGGGAGGGGAGTTCACAGGGCCTGTGGGGTAGATCAGGTCCTCCCCCAGGAAACTCTGGTCTAAACCAGATACCAGTTGAACCCTGACCAGGCCGACTTGGTGTAGCCATGGCAAACAGGAGGAAGCTATACCAGGGGAGCTGTGGAGCCCAGCTTGAAAGGGAGGACTGCCTGCTCCTGAGCCAGTGTCAGTCCTCCATCCATCTCAGAGGCTTGGGCATGCCCAGGCAGTGGCCACCAGACAGGCCCCTCTGTTATGGTGCTGCCACCTTCCTGTCAGCCTCAGGGTTAGGAACGGCTGCCTTGGTATCGGAACTGGGGCAGGACCACCGATTCGGGTCCACCCTTGTGAGCTGATGCTAGTTTTGCTCCCTGACCTCCCCCAGCTGGGCAGGCCCTTGGCTTCCCCGCACTGACCTCAGGCTTGCTTGTGTGTGGGTGGAGCTCACTAAGACTTGTTCTTCTAAGTTGTTTTCTCTGAGGCTGTAACCACCACTCTGTCTTTAGATCTATTTTCTTGTGTGCTAGTTTGACTTTGTTGAGTGACAGTTGCTGGAAGGGGTATGTTTTCTGGAGACAGAGGCTGAGGAGTGGCCATCCAGATTCAGCTGCTTCTGTAGGCATCGTGGGGACAGGGCACAGGGGGCTGTGGAGAGCAGCTGGTCCTGCATCTGCTTGGGGGCTGCCCTGAATGTGGGGCTGGGACCCACAGCAGCCTCATGCAGTGAGCACGTTGGTCTTTGGTACAGAAGGAGGAAGGGACACCACCCTTAACCACTGATGTGACAAACTGTTCCCTGTGCAGTTAGAACCAGATAATGGACGGCAAGATGCTGAGCTGGCTGAAAAGGAAAGGACAGGGCCTCCTTGGGGAAAGTGTGGGGTGGTAACAGAGAGCAGAACTGCCTGGTTTCTTTTTTGCCTCATCTTCTATTCTGTGGAGCGTGATCTGCAGACTAGAAACAGGAGCAAAAACATTAAAAAAAAATATGGTTTGCAGAACTGAAAATAGTGCTCAGGGCCCTCTTCACTCTTTAGCCAACAAACATGCAGGGCCTGTTTGGACAGGTGTTGTGTGCAGCAGTGGAAAGGACACGTACGTGACATGGGCCCAGTGCTGCCTCGCAGAGCCCTGGCTCCCGGCTGAAGAGTGGCCTTCCTCCTTGGCTCCATAGCTGCTCAGCCCCTTTGGTGGACGTTTATTCTAGTTCTGTTTGCTCTTGTTAAGGTGTGTATTCTAGCTTGTCAAGAGAGGCCTGTTTCTGGCCTCCTGTCTTGATGATGCTCCTCAGGTTCTTTGAGTCACAGCCAATGACCACACTGTCCGTGTCCTCAGTGGTGTTGCCCTGACCAGGATGGGGCAGGGCTCCTCCCTCCACACATCTGGGATCTGGTGCCTTCGGACCTGGCAAGGTCCCCCTGCTTCAAAGCTATTAAGCTGTTGTCTGTGTCTTGTCTCTGTGGATGGTGCCAGGTGTCTTTGCTGCGGTCAGAGTGCACGGAGTTTGTGTGGGGCCTGTGAGTCTGCTGACTCCATTAAAAGTGGCCAGCCAGCAGCTTGGGAGAATTGCTTTCAGCCAGCCAGGAGCCTGCCTAAGCCCTTGGAGATTGCTTGTCTTGGGCACAGAGCCCATCTGCGTAATCGAGTCCCCCTCTCAGAGCCCTCAGCCCTTCCTCTGCCTTTTTGTGCTTCACACCTTGGTTTCTGGCTCCACCTTCTATCCATGGCCTCTCCACTTCTTCTCAGCCAGCCTCCAGCATGTTCCACTGACCAGCAAGTACCCTCTTGCTGTGTCTACTTCTCTCCCCTCACCTCCTGCGGCTCTGTGGCCCTCAGCCCTGGCAAGTCTCCATGGCAAGGTTTGCCTCACACTGCTATTGGAAGGTGGGGAAGGGAACAAGTATGGCCTTGGGGGCTTGGGGGCACAGGTGAGTTGTCCTTCTGAAAGCGGGTTTGCTCAGTCAGTTCTCTTGTCAGAAATGCTCAGTGACTTAGAGCCTAACTGGGTGACGACTCTTGATTTCCACATATGGATGCCTGCCTCATGCTGGCTCAGTCCTCTGAGCCTGCCACCCTCACTTCCCCACGAGTTTGATCTCGTGTTGTCCTTCTGCATTGTTCCTTTTACTCCATTCTTGTGGCCCTGATCACATTGCCCCTCGTGCGTGTGTCTGCTCCATCCTGACTGCCTTGTTAACAGGAACATGTTGTTGCTTCTTTGCCTCGGTGGAGGTTGGGGAAGCAGATGGGGGTAGGGACTCTGAACCCATGTGTTTAATGAGTTACCCAGCAGTGTAATGGGTCAGTGTCATTTTATGCTTCTTTTACACATTAATACAGATTTGTCCAAGTCTTAGAATCTAGCCTCCTTTCTGAATTTAAAGATCACAAACATGATCCTGCAGCCCCATTTGCATACTCTTCCAGTACCCTGGGGTTTGCTTGTTTGTGTGGAGCAGTCAGTAGGCTTTCTAGCACCACTGGACCGGGCATGTTTATTTTTATTTTTATTATTTTTTTAATGTTTCATTTATTTTTGAGAGAGAGAGGGAAAGTGCACGAGGGTGAGTGGGGGAGGGGAAGAGAGAGGGAGACACAGAATCTGAAGCAGGCTCCAGGCTCTGAGCTATCCGCGCAGAGCCCGATGCGGGGCTCAAACTCATGAACCTTGAGATTATGACCTGGGCTGAAGTCGGACGCTTAACCGACTGAGCCACTCAGGTGCCTCTGGATCAGGCTTTTTTTAATTCTCCTGGGGTGAGGCAGCAGATCCCTGACGTGCTCGTTCATGTGTTTATCAGCATGCCCAACGCTGGGAAAGAGGGCAGGCTCTGAGCAGATGGGCCAGTCCCTGGGACCCAAGCCTAACATGCCCCTTCCTTTCTGACACACACAAATGTTCTTCTTAGCTTTGTGTGTGTTCGGCAGGGTGTGTGCTGCCATTCACAGGGAGCTCAAGCTTAGCTGGTGTACGTGGCTCTATCCTAGCAGAGCATTAGCCGGTGAAAACCTATGATAGCATTCTGTCTGTGATTGGGCATGTTTTGGCAAATGTGTTTTTAAGTGTTTGCCACATTTGTGGGGTTTATTTCCTTTGTCCAACCTGGAGAACCTGCACGTCCCACGTACTTTGGGAGGGACTAAGAGTTGACTTTGTGTGCCTCCTTTGTTTTACAGAGGAGGAGACTGGAGCCAGGGCCCCACGGTTCTTAATGCCAGAGTTGAGTGGGGACCCAGGCCACTCAGAGGGTAGGAAATCGAGGGTGCTGGCTACTCAGCCATCTGAATACACTTGATTTTGTGTGGGTTGTGAGTGACTCCTAGGGCCTAGATCCTCTGGTTCTTTGTGCTGGAGGTAGCTGCTTTGCTTTGTGGTGTCTGCCTTTACTGTTTTTTCCTTCTCATGGCTCTGCCCTCTTACTCCCTTGCTCAGCTTGCTTGCCTTTTATCGCTGTGCTGAGAGTCCCTCCCTTGATGCCTCTCCTGGACCTTAGCTAAGCTGGTATGCCATGGGACAGTGCCTCTTCCATCCAGGGGCAGTTGCTGTGCAGGGCCTGCTGGCCTGGAACCCTGCAGGAGCAGACTTATAGGCACATGTCAATATCTCTTCTTCTTCTTCTGTGTTACAGTGAGGATGCCATGAGAAAAGCTGGTGTGGCCCACAGTAAATCCAGCAAGGATATGGAGAGCCATGTGTTCCTGAAGGCCAAGACCCGGGTAAGGCCTTGGTGGGTGTAGTCACCCTCCCTGGCAGCGAGGCTTAGGAAGGGGAGGGTGCAGGGCAGAATCTGGAAGCTATCTGCCTATGGAGTGGGGGCGGGGTGGCTGCTCACTGATTGACCATGGGCACTGTCACCTTTACCGTCAGTATGCTGTCAGTCTTCCCACGTGTCCATGGTATACGGGCGGGAGGGTGGGGGGAGACATGCAGGATGTAGGCCTGGCCTGTGACTACAACCCCATTGCCAGCACCATCCATTCATGGTGGGCAGAGCCCAGCTCTTGTAGGGTGTTCAATGGGGTCCAGCTGTTCCTCTGAGGAAGAGTGCTCCCCATGGTGCTCACCGAAGCTCCACAGGGCTCTGACACGTGGGCCCAGAACAGTTCTTGTCATCTTTTGTTTAGTGCTAAAGGTGATGCTTGTGGAAGTTGAGGCCTTGAGCTAGGATCCAGGCCGAGGAATGTTACAGGTGGAGTAGTCAGGGAGGATTTCCAATGTATGAGCTCTCGTCCTGGGCCAGGTGCCATGGGCTTCATGTGACTACCTCCTTTCAATAGAGTGTTCTCCCCAGGGCAGAGCTGTTTTTGTAGAAATGAAGCAGAACAGGAACAAGGAAGCCAGCGGCTTGTCTAGTGTTACCCAGCTTATGCGAGAAGGGGCTGATGCCCAGCCAGGGCTTTTGTTGCACCACTGCACCTGCCCTGCCTCCCTCTCAAATCCTGACTGTGCAGACCCTCAGCTGCACTGGGTCTGCGTTGAGCACTTTGTTCCTGAGTGTGGTATTGGGAGTTCTAGAACATCGTTTCATGTCAAGAATTAAAAGCAGATGCTGTTAGGGGGGCCTGGGTGGCTCAGTCGGTTGAGCGTCCAACTTTGGCTCAGGTCAGGATCTCGCAATTTGTGAGTTCGAGCCCCATGTCAGGCTCTGTGCTGACAGCTCAGAGCCTGGGGCCTATTTCAGACTCTGTGTCTCTCTCTCTGCTGCTTCCCCGCTCATGCTCTGTCTCTCATTATCTCTCAAAAATGAATAAACGTTAAAAAAAAAAAAAAAGCAGATGCTGTTTGTGGCCCTCAATGGGATACTGGTTTGGATAAACCAATTTTTAAGACATATAGAGGTCAGTTCGGGAAATTTGGACATGGTCTGTGTGTTTAGATGAGGTGAACGTTTTTCAAAATGGAAAGATCAAGATTATCGGCTGGAGAAAGCAATTTCCAGAAGAGAAAGCAATTTCCAGAAGAGAAACCACCTGTATGATGTGTTTGTGACCACATGTAAGTGTAAGAAAGAGCGCTGAGCACTGAGATGTGAAGGGGTCTGCACTCTGGATATACGTAATAAACATTTTCTTGGGACACCTGGGTGGCTCAGTTGGTTAAACATCTGACTTTGGCACCTTTCGTGAGTTCGAGCCTCACATCAGGCTCTGTGCTGACAGCTCAGAGCCTGGAGCCTGCTTCAGATTCTGTGTCTCCCTCTCTCTCTGCCTGTTTGCCCGTGCATGCGCGTGTGCGATCTCTCTCTCTCTCTCTCTCTCTCTCTCTCTCTCTCTCTCTCAATAACTAAACGTTTAGAAAAATGTTTTTAAATAAATAAAAAATAAATAAAATCTTTAGAAAAAAACACACACATTTGTGTAGAAGCTTTCCTGTTGACATACCATTTTCATTTCTCTTGGGTAGATACTGAGGAGTAGAATTGCTGAATCATATGGTAATACTGCCAGGCTGTGGGTTTTGTTTTTTGTTTTTTGTTTTTTGTTTTTTTAAATAAAGATTTTATTTTGGGGGCACCTGGTTGTCTCAGTCAGTTTGTTAGGTGTCTGACTTCGGCTCAGGTCATGATCTCATGGTTCGTGGGTTTGGGCCCCATGTCAGGCTCTGTGCTGACAGTTCAAAGCCTGGAGCCTGCTTTGGATTCTGGTCTCCCTCTCTCTCTGCCCCTTCCCCACACATTCTCTGTCTCTGTCTCTCAAAACTAAATAAATACTAAAAATTTTTTTAAAATTTATTTTTAAGTAATCTCTGTACCCAATGTGGGGCTCAAACCCACAACCCTGAGATCAGGAATTTCATGCTCCACCTACTGAGCCAGCAAGGCGCCCCGCCAGACTTTTTGAAAGCAGTTGTGTCATTTTGTGTTCCCATCAACAGGGTATGAGATTCCAATACCTCCACTCCTTAACACTTGTTATTGTTTGTCTTTTTTTTATTATTATTATAGCTGTCATAATGAGTGTGAAGCAGTATCTCACAAAAATTGTGGTTTTGATTTGCATTTCCTGGTGACTAATGATACTGAGCATCTTTTCATGTGCTTGTTGGCCGTTTGTATATACTCTTAGGAAAATTGTTTATACAGATCCTTTGCTGATTTTATTTAATTTTATTTTTTTAATTAAAAAATTTTTTTTTATTACGTTTCTTTATTTTTGATAGGCAGAGAGAGACAGAACGTGAGTGGGGGAGGGGCAGAGAGAGAGGGAGACACAGAATCCGAAGCAGGCTCCAGGCTCTGAGCTGTCAGCGCAGAGCCTG